TCTCATTTTCCCACAGCCCCTGGAGTCAAAGCATTTCCACAAGCTCGGGGGCACAGAATGGCACAGCAGCCACAGCCTGGAGACAAATCCTGGCCTCCACAGGGTGAACCAGGATGAGGAGGGGTCTCTCCTGGCTCTGCAGCCAGGTTATCCCAGTTTCTCTTAGTGTTTCTCTTCCTAATGTCCCATCAGGGATCGTGTGCTCCCAGTCTCCATTCTGCTTCCACCACCTCAGTCTCAGCATCCCTCCAGAGCTTCCCAGTCCTCATCCCACTGGGAATCCCGTTAGCACGTCAGTGGTCAGACCACGAGCCTTGTCCCACGCAGCCCCTCACAGGTGACCTGAAAAGGGCACCAGGGCTCCTCTCTGCCCCAAGAGCTGCCAGCCTGGCAGCCATGAACCCACACAGCTGAGCTCTCCCTCCCAAGCAGGCTGCCGTGTCCATCCTGGCCAGTGGGGATGGTCTCCACATGGGATGAAGCCCCAAACCAAGTTAGGTTGGTGTGGACGTGGCCACGGGCTGGATGCTCATGATATCTCCAGTGTGGGCTCTGCATCCTCTGTCCCCTCCTGACCCCATCCCAGCTCCTGTCCCCACCCTGTGTGACCCCAAAAAGACAGCGTGAGCTGACACACAGGACAGTCCATCCAGATGTCTGGGACAGGCAGCTGCCTGCTTCCTGCCTGCTTCCTGCCTGCCCACTGCATCCAGCACCACCATCCCCCGCCCTTCCTCCCCGGGTCACCCACTTGGGCCTTCCCGGGCCTGAATCCTGAGGGTCCTTGGAGGCTCTGGTCCCTCTCATGGCATTGCCTGGAAGCCCTTAAATGTTAAGCTTCCACGTCAAAAGGTGACTGAGGAGGGAGGGACAGAGTAACCAAGGAGAGAGTGGAGGGACAACTCTGTCCCTGTCCCCTCATCCCTCACCCGGCTTTGATCCCACCGTGGTGCCACGTTACCTCTCGTCCGCTCTCTTCCCACACCTCCTCCGCAGCCATCGGAGCCAATGTCACCCCACAAACAATGGGAATGCACCTGCTCAGGGGACGGGCCACCCCGGCCCCGCTGACTGTCCACGTGGCAGCTAAACAAGCTGGATTGCCCGGATCCTGGAATCCCACAGGCAGGCTCCTCCGGGGGTCTCCGCTGCGATGCTCAGCCCAAAAATCGCCGTCGTGTCTGCAAAGCTGCTCCATCCCATGGTGTCCAACATCTCCCTGAATCCTGAGCCCTTAGTTCAGCTTTCCCAACATGCCCAGCAGCTGATGGCCGTTAAACCACAGTGTGGTTTTGCTCTCTGAGCACAAAGTGCATCTAAAAATATCCCGCTCTGATGCTTCCCTTGCTCTGCTCCGAGAGCCGTGAAGATGCCCGGAGCAGCAACCAGCCTCCAGAAGGGAGGTCAGCCAGCAGAGGGATCCCAGCTGGAAGCAGGGATGTGTTTCTCCCTTCCTCACCCTGTTCCCCCAGATGGGTGTTGGGACGTGCTTCCCCGGGTGGCTCCGTGTCCCCGGCTGGGCGTTATCTGGTGGCAGCAGCTTGAGGGGCAGTGACAGGACAACCGTCACACCGAGACGTCACCGTGTTCCATGAGTTCCCAGCACATCCGTGTTGTGCAGCACGTTCAAATCCCTTAAAATTATATCCTTTAAACTTAAATCCTTTAAATTTAAGTCCTTTAAATTTTCTTCTGGTGGTGGGTGCTGGACTTGGTGCCCACCGTGCTGGGTGGTTGCTCTGAGTGACCCCAGAGGGGTCCTGGGTCTCCTCTGAAGGTTGGAACAAGATGAGTTTTAAGGTTCCTTCCAACCAAACCATCCTATGATCCTTGCTCCATGCTCAGGAACTGGTATTCCGAATGGAAACCCACACAGGAACTGGCAGAGCCAGCCAGAAGTTTCATTTAATAATCCCACCATTTACTCACACCTTGGCATATTCTCTCATCCATCTGCAGCCAGCACAACACCCAAAATTCCACATCATCCCACTGTCACCTTGCTGCCCCACCACACGTGGGAAGCCCCCCTTGCTGCACTTCCAAGTATTTCCCTCCTGCACATTCATTACCCGGGATCCTCTGAGAAGCCAGGGAACATCCCAGTGCCCATCTGCCACGGTCTCCATTCCCAGCCAGCTCTTGGGGTGCCCCTTGGGGGTCCTGCTCCTCTCTGAGACGCCAGTGGGTCGGGCAGGATGCTGTGCAGGACCAAGCCCAGATTTCAGCTCGTTCCCTTCCCAAGCCTTTGGGTGCTCCATTCACACTTTGTTCTTTCCAGCCCCCAGGGGACAGACCTTTACCACCGTTCCCAGTCGGCACCTGCTCATTCCCAGTTGCTGCCTACATCCAGCTGAGGTTCAGGTTTCCCCCATTCCACATGAAGCCACTTCCCAGTCGGCAATTTCCCACCTGGCTTTTGTCCTCCCCCTGCCCTCGGTGCCTCCCTGTCCCCTCTCCCTGCCAACCTCGGGGCTGGGAGGACCTGCACCCTGCTGGGGTGGCACTGGGAGACACGTGGGAGTAACTGGGGGAAGCTGGGGGTGACTGGGGTCCAGTTGGGGGTGACTGAAAGACAACTGGGGTAACTAGGGGAAGCTGGGGGTGACTGGGGGGCAGCTGCGATTGACTGGGAGACAAGTGGGGGTAACTGGGAGCAGCTGGGAGAAACTGGGGACAGCTGTGGCTGCCTGGAGGCAGCTGTGGGTGGGTGGCCAGTGGGCAGCGAGGTGACACTGTGGGCATTTGGGGTGACTGGGAGGCAGGTATCAGGTGAGCAGCTCGGGGATCGGGACTGTTCAACCTGGAGAAGGGAAGGCTGCGAGGAGACCTTAGAGCCCCTTCCAGTGCCTAAAAGGGCTCCAACAGAGCTGGAAAGGGATTTTGGACAAGGGCCTGGAGGGACAGGACAAGGGGCAGCTGTGAGGCCGGTGTGCGGGCTGGGAGGGAACTGG